GATCGTAGTCGACGCACCGGGCGCGACGCCCGCTTGCACCATCGACTTTGCCCTACCATGATGCATGTAGGGTTAGGTGAAAAGGACAATCAAAGGTACCGCTTTGAGGTCGTCCCAGAGCGCGCTGGCGTGCGCCCACTTTTGCGCCGCGGCGTCGGTCGTGTTGATGGCGAGGTGCCACGTCGCGCTGCCGAGGACACCGAGCAGCGTGCCGTCCAAGCTCCAGACTTTGGTTGTCTTGTCGATTGCGCAGGTTAAAATGCACGCGACGGGCGACTCGACGAGCGTGACGCACTTGATGGCCATCGCATGCGCTTGCCACGCACTCGTCACGGGCGGCGCCGGCACGATTGGCGCCGACGTTGTTCGGTCGACGGTTGCGGCAGCTACAACGCCCGTGATATCGCTCCCTATGGAAGCGACGCATCACTTACTGTCGTCGCCGTCCCGCTCGATGCGGCGCCGCGGGTTGTACGACTTGGACGTGTGCGGCAAGAGCGACTCGTCGGCGGCGGCGATTTGGTGCTGCCGCAGCACCTGCAGAAACGTTTCTCAAACAATTTATCATTTTTTTGAAAAAGGGACGGACGGGGTAGAGGTCCCAGCAGCGAAGCATGCCGCTAGAGTCGCCCACATAGACGAGCTGTCGGCCGCTCGTGATGCCTTCGGCGACGGCGTCGCCGCCGAACGGGTCGTAGAGTGTGTCCAAGGTCGCAACAGAGGCCGTGGGACTACCATCCAGTGAGCGTCGTTTGTCAACTACATTTCGGTTTGTGTACCTCGTACTATCAATGGAAAACTGGCAGAGACGCGTGGGATGCGCTGCAGGTCGAACCGAGTGCAGCACAATCATGCCGTTCTCGTAGCCGCTGAGTACGATCGGGTGCGGGTCTAGAAACGCGACGGCGTTGACCTCGACGCTGTGTTCACTGTACGCTTGCTCCAGTAGAAAGTAGACATAGTCCCAGATTTTGAGCGAGCCGTCGGCACTGCCGGTTGCGACGAGACCCAGGTGGTACGAGTAGGCCATGCACTTGATGTCGGCGCGATGGGCTTGTGCAATGCAGCGCATGAGGGGCTTCTTCGAGTCGTCGTCGTAGAGACGAAGCGACCGGTCCCAGGACGCCGTGAGCACGACCTCGTCCTCCTTGCAGTACAGCATGCACGACACTTGGCCCGAGTGGCGCGGGAAGCTCTTGAGAAGCGCGCCGTTGAGGTAGTTGAAGACGAGCACGTCGCCGCCGAGCGTTGAGAGCACGAATTTGCGCTCGCGGGCGTCCAGGACCACGTGCGTAATGTCGCTACGACAGAGGCCGCGAAACACATGCAACAGCGTCCCTTTCTGTGCGTCCCAAATCTGAACGTCTACGAGGGTTACGTTCAACTAGACCACAAGGACAAGCGATTGGGGCCCACCACGGTCGGTCGTTGTGAGGAGCGTCATCGTGGTCGTGTTCAACAAGATCGCGCTGGACGCATAGTGCTTGGGCTTGAGCCGGACGCGGTGGATCCATTTCAAATGGAAGCCCGACGCGAGGATCGTGGCGCCGGTCGTGAAGAGCGTAAACGCGTTGGGCTTCCACGGGTACCTAAAGAAAGACAGATAGATAGATAGATAGATAGATAGATAGATAGATAGATAGATAGATAGATGATATACGTACTGGCCGTTGCCAAAGCGGAAGGTCTGGAGACACCGGTCGTTGTCGTCCATGGACACGAGGCTGGTCATGTTCCACCACTTAAAGTAGCCTAGTATCAATGTATCAGCTGAGTATCAAGTTTGCGAGCAACTGCCTTCGTCGTCGAGGCTGATGGCTTGACCGAGTTGCGGGATCGTTTGAATGCACAGGATCGGCGACGTGTGTCCCGAGAGCTTGAAGATGGGCGCGATGCTGAGCCCTGAGACGTCCCACCCGAGCATGTCTCGCTCGAACCCTATTCAAAACCCACGAAACTCAATGCACAACACTCAACACAACATTGAGGACTACCCGTACTCACAAACACCGAGTCCGAGTGTTTGACGAGCTTTCGGACGCCGCGTTTGTGGCCACGCCGGGTGCTCTTGCACTCCAAGCTCGCGGGATCCCAAATTTTGATGAGCGAGTCCATCCCGCAGGACACGAGCGTCTCGTCGTTGACGAGCAGCAGGTCCTGGGCCATGTCCTTGTGCGAGCGCAGCACGTCCGTGCACACAGCACTGCACGACTTCTTGCTCTTGGCCACCACCTAGAGACCACATAGTTAACGCGATCAATGTATCAATGTATCAGTTGCCCTACGCGCCAAACCAGAATCGCATTGTCGGTCGCGAGCGAGAAGAGGCGGGACGCCGCGGGCGCCCACTCGAGAACACGCTGCGGGTGCTCCGTGCTCGCAACGTACACGGGCTCGGGCGCCTCGGTCATGAAGAGCGCGTTGGGCTGCCAAAATGTCAGCTTCAAATCGCCGGCCGCGATCACGAGCAGATCCACGCTTGCGAGGTACTTGATGACCTACTACGCGTGAAGCCAAGGGCGCGTGGAGAGAGGATCGACCTGCACGGGGCTGCGCTCGGAGCGCACTTGGTCCTGGTCCTTGCGGTAGCCGTGTTGGTAGCAGAGCGGGTGTAGTTCGTGCAAGAGCGGCAGCGTGAACGCTGGCGTCGTCGGCTGGTCTCCCGTTCGCGGCGGCTCGTTCTGCTCAATCGCGCCGCTCTCGGCGGCCAGAATCGCCGACGGATCAAACACCTGCTCGAGTCAGCCTCCACGTGGCCTCAAAAACTACCTGAATCACGGGGCGCGAGCTCTCAAAGGCAAAGATGCGCTTGAGCTCAGGGATGTACTGCACGCAGCGCGGCTGGCGACTGCGGTCGTCGGTGAACAAGCTGTTTTCTTCGTAGCGCCAGTCGCGCCACGCGAGCTCGTCGACCGACGTACGCATGCCGACGTCAATGAGCGCGCTCGTAAAGTCGTCCCAGAGCATCTTGCCATGGCGCAGAATCGCAATCTCGTGAAAGAGCTCGATGAGCTCGTAAATAAGAGAGACGACCGTCGCGTCGGTCCACTCGAGCTTGTCGAGGAGGACGCTGACAAAGTTGCAAAGGTCGACGCCGCCTTCGTGCGAGTCAAAGGCCTCCTTGAGTTCGCTTAAGTCCTCGACGCGCAGCCGCATCATCATGTCGAGGCACGAGTTGGCCTTGGCCATGGCTCGGGTGTCGTTTCACGCTCTGGACCCCGGGGCACCAGTGTCTCGACGCCTGGTCTCGCGATCACGATTTCTCCAAAAACGGTGTCGGAGGAGGACTCTTGTTGAAGAGTGTGGTTGCTCGTCGCCTTCGTATTCAAACGGAGATACCATGACATTGTTTGGTGCCATTTTTCCTTTGAAGGGCCGCGCACGACAGCCTACCGTTGTGAGCCGCGCGATACCACCGAGCGTTGTATCGAGGTGCTAGCGTGGGAGACTATACTGTTGTTGTTGAACTGAGTTTGACGATGCGTTTGTGTCGACAGAAACTCGACGCTATGCCCTTGACCGTGGTCGTGGCGGTCCATTCGAGACGCTGGCCTTGGCGTGGGTGGCGTGTGCCCCGGGGTACATGCACGAAACGGCATAAAAAGCCTGCTATGGAAGCGCCGCACCCGGTCGAGTCGACGTCGCGCTTGGCAGCAAGGACGCTGGCGCTCGTCAAAGTACATAGTTTAATTCACCGACTGGCGACGATGGATGATGATGATGATTTATCGCAGGAGTCGGACGCGCGTGGGCCGAGCCTCGCCAAACACGCCGACGTCATGACACCGCGTCCGCGCCGCGCCATTGCATCGGCCGGCTCCACACGCCAAAAGCCGTCGTACGACGACAACTTGTCCAAACTCTCCATTGACAAGGTGTCTCTTAGGAAACCACCGGCAGCGACCATGACCAAAGGGCATTTCTTCGCCAAGCTTCAAAAGCGCAAGGAGCTGCTGCACCAGGAGGCGCCACGTACGTTGCTTGACGGCCAAAAGATTGTGCGAGCGAGATGACTCTAGTTGACGCTCGCCCGTCGGCGCGCAAGCCCTTCGTGGCGTCGAAACAGGGCCCGGCGCCCATCGCGCCGTTCGTCGAGGCGCCGCTGGCCCACGACGTCGGGTCGGCCATCGACACGCGGGGCCACGCCGCAATTACGAGCTGGCTCGATGAATTTCCCATGGAAGAACGCGACTTTTTGTCGCCGACCAACTTTTTCGAGCTCAAAACGTCGCAAGCGCGGCGGCTCACGGACGGCTGGCCGACGCCCCAGCGCCTCCGCATCGCTGTCGCGTACACAGCACTGACGTCGCTGGCCGCGCGCCACGCGTCCATTCCCCCACGCTTGCTCGCGCAGTGCCTCGAGTACATCTTTGATTTGTCGCCATTGGATTTGGAATGTTGGTGCTAGGGAGCTCGCGCCGGCCATTTATGCCAATGCCTCCGACTTTGACGACGCCCAAGACGCGATTGATGAGAACCCCTTTCTCTTCTACTACCAGCAAGCGACGCTGCAGCACGACGTACTGCATGGGCGATGGACAATATGTCTGATGTATTCTGGACGCGTCAGGTCGTCCAAGCCAAGATACGCGAAGTCGAGAGGCTGGAAGAACGCATCGCCGAGCTCAGCGAGCAATTGGACGACTATCAATGCAAGCAGAAACGCAGCATGTCCCACGCCGTCGTCGGTCGCTTCAAAACGAGCCTGAACATGTTCAAAGCCAACCACGTCGCGCCCCAAGCACCCACGTCCGCAGTGGTTGAGCACCACCCCGAAAACGTACAACGCTTCGCACCTCGATTTTTTCTATCGTTTTATATACTTTCTTAGCGACTCCCGACCGAGACCGAGATCTGCGCCTACTTTAGTCTCATGTCCCCCGAAGCGCTGTCGTCCATGCTGCATCGACTGTTTAAAGACCCCAACATGCCGTCGCTGACGCAGACACTGGCGCACCTCGTCGATGAGCTGGACCCTGGTGCGTCGACGACGAAATGCAGAGGAAAGTGAATGAGGCATGGGTAGACCAGCGCGAATCGTTCTACCACGCGTACCAAAAAAGCATGTCGGCCGACGAGCTCTACAACTTTATCGTACGAGCTGCTGCACCGACGACGACGCTGTATAGACATGCAACGACTAGGCCAATGAAATCAACCAGCACAACCAGTACCTTCGCGACGCTACTGTGCGCTTGACCAAGAAGACGCCAACCGGGCTCTTGTCCGAGTTTGTCTTGGGCCTGCAAAAGCATCTTCTTCTCCAGGACAAGGCCGCGCCCCCGCTGGCCGAAACCAGCGACTCGGCGTAGACCTTACCGGCGGGCGTTTCACAAATCATGTGTTTTTTGTAGACTGACGGCCGTCGAAGCGTTCATTCTCGTGCACGTCGAGTCGTTCATGGCCCGTCTCACGACGCTGCGCCAGGACGTCGGCGAGAGCTCGCTCGTGGAAATCATACCGCGGCATGCGCAGATTCGGAATGACGTGGCCAAGCTGCTGGAATTTCTCATCCTGCTCGAGGGCGGGGACCCGTCGTCGCTCCTTGAGGGCCTGGACGACGACACGTTTGATGACGGCAACAACGCTGCCGCCAGTGACAAGGATGAGGACGACGAAGACGATGAGGACGACGACTTGGACGAGCTCAAACCGGCGAAAAAAACGCGTCGAAAAACCAAAAACGACGGAGCGCGGTCAGCAGAGCCTCGTTCAGGTCGCGGACGATGCCCCTCTACGACGTGTGCACGACGATCTCGGCCTTGGTGTGCGAAAAGCTCATGCAAGACGCCAACGACAAGTCGCTGCAGCTGCAGCCGCTCAAGGTCTTTACGCGGCAATACTTTATCCGCGTCTACGGCCTCAAGTCGCTCGCACTCTCGCACATTGCTTCGTTTCGAACGGCGCTCCAAGTGCACTGCAAGGTACTAACTATTACAGCTAAAATCACGCCCCTTAAACCGACATGGTGAGCAGGAAAACCCGCGCGTCGGTCTCTTTCACTGGTTCCTCGGCCTCGACGAAGCGCGCACCATGAGCGCAGAGCTCGGATTTGCGTTCTTCAAGTCGCTCATCAAGCACGTCATCTACACCATGACCAAGGTCAAGAGTGCGACCATGAACCAGATCGAGTCGGCGCCCATCACGACGCTCGAGTCACTCATGTACGCGTGGAACGATCTCATTGGCGACGGCTACTCGAGCAAAGATTCAACGGCAAAAGACGCGCCGACCGGGACGTTCCGCGACAAGAAGCGCCTGATTCCTGTGCCGAAAGCGCTCGAAGTGTGCAAAGTTGCGTTCAACGAGGTGTTCGAGAAGGACAGCTCGGTGCTCGCAGCGATCGACGACGTCCGGTGTGCGGGGACACCGGCGCTGCCGATGGAAGATTTTCTCATGCAGCTCATGGACGCGTGGTCCGAGGCGCTCGAGCGGCTCGTCGTGGAGCTCCGGCTCAAGTTTAAAGATGCCGACAAGAACGGCGACGGGACCATGGACTTTGAAGAGTTTTTCGCCTTTCTCGTTACCGCCAAGATGCTCGACACGACCAAACTCGAAGTGCCGCCTCCTTGATGGATAGATTGATAGATTGATAGATTGATGATTTTCGATCGCGTAGGACGCACGCCGCGGGACGCAGCGCGACGGCGCATCGGCGACGGCCATGGCCGACATGCGCCACACCAACGCCGTGCGGCACAAGGCGATCAGCATCTACGACAGTCTCGCGAACGACCACAACATCATCGACGAGACGCATTTCGTGTCGTACATGCTCGGCCAGCTCCTCAAACCCACGGGCCGCAAGACAGACGACGAGAAGCCCGAGACAGCACGCAGCAGCGACGAGACGGAGGCCAGCCCGTCGCGCCGCCAGGACGAGCGACGGGCATCTCGGACAAGCCACGGAAAGGAGTCGCCGCCGCGCCGATCGTCACGGGCGCCAGTGAGCGAACAAGGCGACGACGACATGTGCGAAGACACGTAGTTGAGTTCAATGTTTCAAGTCGATGTACATCGAGTTTAAATCCTGTACACGTCGAATCCAAGTCTCGGACCATGCTCGTTGCAAGATGTTGCGGACCACACTACGCACCGTCGCTACGGTGGCGCTTGTGAGGTCGGGACGCACACGTTTGGTCCCCAGATTCACTCGCCGTCAGCGCTGCGATCAGTGTGTCGAGAGTCGCGACGCACGTGATGTCGCGTGCTTGGTCGCCGTGCGCTCGAATGTACTGGATCCGCTCGGCTTCGGTCGCTTGGCCAGGAACTTTCCGGAGCTCGTACGCGTTCGACCAGTCGCTGCATTGAAGCGTGAGTCGATCCGCGTGTGCGTTGGCCAGCGCTCGAATGTCGGCGCAGATCCGAGTGTTTCGTTGGAATTGAGTCACAACCCCATTTTTCAAGAAGATGGCAGCGTCCATGCACTGGCTGCAGTGCGTCGGGTCCAGAGGCACATCGCCCAAGACAAAGTCGGCGACGACAGTTGGGAGCAGCTCGGGGCGGATCCCGGAGGCTGTAAAGACCGATCGGCAGAACGTCGCCAGGACCACCGTCATCTTCGCAAAGACCGGTACTAGGGCGAACTTTTGCGCCAACGCCCGAACGATTGGGTAGAGTTTGCGCCGGTTCGCGTCCAGCGAGTTGACGGTGCACACCCAGTGCGTCATGAAATCGGCGACTTTCTCGGGGGCAAGCACGACGAGCGCGTCGATGGTGGCTATGGCAAGTCGCACGATGACGTCGTTCTCGAGTGCTTCGTCGATGACGTCGGTCGCGTCATCGACCAGGAAGCTCGTTAGGATCTCGGCCGTCAATGGAGTCACCGATTCCTGGGTGACGAGCTGCGAAATGGCCATGATGGTGCGGAACGAGCACAGAATCCGCATCTTGGCCAAGAAGGTCTCGTCGCAGCGGCCAAGACGGTTCATGCAGACGAGGAGACTGTAGCCGCCCGTCACACTCAGCGCATCGTCCCACTCAAAGAGGTCGTCCATGTCGTGTCGGTCGATGAGGTGCACGAGTGCATCCATGTACGGCCGTTGGGTTATCGCAGGCTGGACCTCGAGCGCTTGGAGCAAACAGAGCGGTATGTGCTCGAGCTGCCAGACGACATCATCGGTGCGCAAAGTGAGAAGCGTGTACGTGGCTCGGCAGCGGTGGTAGAGAAAACTGTCGACGACCGAGACGAGCGCCGGCGGCAGTCGGTGGCCGAGCCAGTGGTTGTTCGTGTCGAGGGACGCGACGTCGTCAAGGTACCACTCCATGATCAAAAGGTTTTCGTCGATCGAGTTCTTGGACCACGTGTCCTCATGGGCCAAGACCTCGTGCCAGCACAGCTTGAAGAACTCGCACGCAAACGGCTGCCGCAGCGGCGCGCACACGCCAGCGTCGACTGCCCCCGCAAGGCTCACCAAGAGCGAGGCTGTCTCGCGCATGCTTCGCCTGACCCAGCGCTTTAGAAGCCGGCGCATCGCGGCCGCTAGCGCTGGCCAACCGAACGCGGCCAAGCATTGGTGGACCATGCGCGCCGCCGTCTCGAGCGACAGAGATGCCGAGAGGGCGTCGCCAAGGAAGAGATCTGCGAGGGCCACGTCACGGCTCGCCACCAAAGCGTCCATCATCAAGGTCTCGTGGTCGGGAGGGAGGTAGTCGATTTCGTAGTTGATTTCGCACGTCTCTTGGTCGATGTAGAGTCTCGACATGCTCTGGTAGACGCCGATGGTGCCGCGGGCGAGGTCGTGCGCACTGTCGAGGCCGAGGCGCGGTGCATTCGCATCGAGAAGCGCGCTCGTGAGAAGCGGAAGCGCTACGTCGATACCGACAACCCCCGCGCGGGACGCCTTGGGCCAGAAGAAGATGGCGTGCGCGGCGCAGACAAAGTACTCGGTGGCCTGCGGCGCGTCGAGCAGGAAGGCATTTGCACTGCGTCCGATCACACGGTCGGCCACGGCACGCGGGACGTCGCACGACGGATGCACGACGCAGGAGGCCACAATGTTGCGAAAGTCTCGGGCCTCTTCGTCCGCTTCGTCCTCGTCGTCGTTGCCGGCTTCGAACCGGACGAGCGCCACGTCATAGGCGTGTGTCGCGAGAAGGACATGCACGAGCGCGGCGTCCGCCGGCGCCAAGGCCTCGAACGTCAGCGTTGGGATCTGAATCGGCCGAGCCACGCGCTCGATGAGCGGCAAAGGCGCGGCTGCGATCGCCGTAAACGCTGCCACGCTCTGTTGGCGCGTCACCGGTAAGATCGACGTGCTGACGTCGTCGACGTCGACGCCGACCAATCGGTGCACGAGCGTGACGCGGCAGCCCGACGTGATGCGCGTCGACGTCACGATCGCGTCCCTGTATGTCGCTGCAAAGCGCAGCGTGTGCTCGCACGGCGTCAGCGGCACCTCTGTCGCGTGGCCATCGAAGGCAAACGTGAGGTCGCCGCCGCCGAACGCACTGGGCAGCACGAGGAGCAGCGAGCCAATGGTATTGCAATCGTCGGCGGCGGCCGAGCGGTCGACGGCCAACGGCAGGAGCGCGTCGGCAGAGCCCTCGGTGTCGATGCACAGGTGCGTCGGGATGGCGACGACGTCGGTGGTCGTGAGGCTGAGGCCGTGTTCGACGACGTCGAGGATCTGCGATTCAAAGTACCTGTCCCACGCCTCTTCGTCGTGGACGGTCATGTGCTTGGCGGGCACGAGTATGGTGCGATCGACGGCGTAGCGCGTGGCGAGCTGCTGCAGCTGCGCCGGCGTCGGCGGCCATGCGAGGCAGCCATCGACGCCGGCCACGGAGATCTCGGGCACGCGCTGGATCGACACCGCGTCGGCGAAGACGTAGTTCGAGGCCGCGCGCAGCTGCCGCAGCGCCACCTCGTGCGCGGCGAGGCCAGGGTGGATCGGTCCGTCGACCAGGCGCATCGGCTAGGCGTTCTGTCGCGCGTGGATTGGTAGTTATTCTACGAATGAAATGCATGGGAATCTTAAGATGCAATTGGATTGGTTAAAAGTCCGAAGTGTCAGCCGCATGTAGTTAACTGTAAGCTGGCGTAGCCACACCACTTGAGGCTACCGGTAGCATGCGCTGACTTGAACCCTGGACTTGAACACTAGTAGCATGCGCTGACTTGGGCCCTGGACTGGAGCGGCATATACCACAAGTCGTGGTGGTAGATTTGAGCCGCGAAGCCATTCCCTCTCCTACCTCGTGTCCCACCAAAACGACCGACGCAACCACAACCCAGCACGTTGAGATCTTCCACACGATAGCACTGCTGTCGCGTGCAAATTCGGTACCTTCAATCAATCAAACGTGTTCGCGTTGAAATCAAATTAGCAAAAACTAACTCAAAGACTTCGCATACGTAGTGCTACGCCTGAATGCGTGGGAGTTGGCACCAGCACTTGGTCGTTGGGAGTGAGCTGCGCACGGAGAGATCCATCCCGTGGTGGACCCCACTCGCCGAGGGTTAGCTCGCTCGAGGTCGTACGCAGGCTCCATTCGGTACCTTCAGTGCGCCAATTATCGTGCGCAAAGGTGCTGGGGTTGACACGCTGGCTGGCGCTACTTGTATCAACCTCTCAACCAATCTCAAGGGAATCGTAGAATTTAACGGCGACGAACTGGTATTGATGGAAATGGCGTGCGAACGGTAGGTGCTAAATACGCACGCGGCTGTGCACGAGCGCGCGCAATGTCTTTTTTATCCGGACGCATGGTTGATACACAGTCATCTTGATACTTTTTGAAGCAGTGTCCCCATTCATTATCAACTGGCTTACAGATTGCATTGGCGTACAGACCACCAGGTCCTCGCCGTCATCCAATCGCATTAGTCATGCGTAGCCTTCAACTTGATAGTATGGTTGAATGTGGCAACGCTATAGGTTGTACTATGTACCAGAAAACCTGCATTGGATGAAGCTATCAAGGTATCAGGGAACACCACATGGTGAAGTGCAAGGAGGGCTTGGCGACCGCACTCTTCTTTTTTCTTGAACCAACGCCCTTGCCATGAGCGCCGCCATGAACCAGAGCATTTACGACATCTCCTTCCCGTTGCATTCGCTCGCGACGACCGAGACGCCCGAGGCGAGTGCGACCGACGACCTCTGGCAGCTGGACGCGCCAACGTCGATCGACCGAAGCGACAAGGTCGGGGCCACGAATCTGCGCGCCGTGCACGACATGCGCATGTCCGACCTTCACAACACGCCCGTCTACATCCAAGCAATGGCACCCGCCATGCGCCCCGACCCTCGTCCTCTCCCCGCACTTGCGTCCGTGCACTGCAGCGTCGCCGTCGCTGTGTAGATTGTGTAGTTAAGAAGGACGCTACTATTTGAATTCAGCGTTATTTGTCGGTTATTACATGGACAACTTGCACACTTTTGGACAATACCCAAGTGGTATTCACCTCCTTGGCGAATAGCGTGCGATTTAGCGTGGCTGGAGAGAGTCGTGGGTATCTGGACCTCGGCCTCGAGCACAACTTGTCCACCAACAATATATTTTATAGCGAGTAGAGCGGGTCCTCCTATACTGTCGGTTTATATTAAATCCTAAAATTCCACCGAGCAAGCGGTGCCATTGTCCTTTCGGTCGTCTTCGGTGCGGGTGATGACAAAGCTGTCGTTGGAGCCGTCGCTCATGTTGAAGCTGCCGTCGGTCGACGTGCGCTGCCGGTGAAAGCTCGACGAGTCGCTCTCCGAGTCGCTCCCGACGCCTTCGTTGAAATTCTCCAAGTGGTTGAACTTTTGCGCGATCGTTTGGCGGTACGGCGCCGTGTCCGTCTCGACCGACGCGCGCGCGACGAAATTCACGAGCGGGTTCGTCGCCACCTCGTACCCACTCATCGCGCTCGTGCGAGGCAGACTTGTGTTGCTCGAGCTGCTACGCGGCGAGATCGGCAGTGCAAACACTGGCGCGGGCTCGGGCACAGCGTACATGGGCGGCGTCGGATGATGCGTCGACATGGTCGTCATCGGGATGGCCACTTGCGCCGGCGGCGTCGACTGTGCCTTGGTGGCGTAGTGCCCGACATCGTCGTCGTCATCTTCTTCGCTCCGACGCTTGCGAACAATGCAGCATGCGATACCAATAATCAGGAAGAGGCCGACAACGCCACCGCCAATGCCGCCGTAGAGAGCCCAGTTCGTCGACGACGGCGGCGATGTCGTAGGCGCGGCCGTCGGTTCAGCGGTGGCCGAGCTCGCGTCGTCTGTCGGGGCCGGCTGTGTTGTTTGATCTGAAGGGCGCTGGGTCGGTTGCGTTGGCTGCGGTGGCTGGGTCGGCTGGGTCGGCTGGGGCGATTGGGGCGACTCAGTTGTAGACACGGGCGCCGTCGTCGTCGTGTTACCGGTACCACTGCCGGAGCCCGAGCCTGACGTCGACGACGACCATGCCGCACACTTGGTCGACGACGAGCAGAGGCCAAAGAAGTTGGTATCCTTGCAGGACACAGTGCCCGAGTCAGAGACGCTCATGCAGGCGCCGCACGACGTCGACGTCGATCGGTCGCATGTGTCGCCGGACTCAGTGACGCATGTCTTGTTCCTGCACACGGCCGGCGTCGTCTTGGCGTTGCCTACAGGAGGTGCTGCATGAGGCAATGGTGGATGCATGCGGATGGGCGTACTGGCAACGAGAAGGACCAGCGCTGTCGCTAGCTGCAGAAGGAGCTTCATGAGGAGCGGGGTACTTTCTTCGGCGACCTAGGCGCGCTGTAGAGAGTTGGCGAGTTTGCAACGGCGTGCTCGTCGAGGAAGTCACCACCTGGTAAACCTCCGTGTTGCGATCTTTAATCCGGATCGGCATAAATTTGACTTGGTTTTGATATGCAACAACCAGTCTAATTTCGTGTACTTGGGATTTCTATGTTGGCTTTGGGTTGCAAATGCATTTTCACGTCTGAGATGACTCCCGGTTCGCACCCCCGCAATGGTATTTTTCTCGAATTTCAATTCCAATAGACATGCCAAGTTCTTTTGATCCAATGGATTGAAATACTTTAACCGAGACGTTGAACTCGCTTCTCGCATGTGTCTCAAACAGTCTGTCAAGCCGTGTGTGCATTGCGAGCGCAACAACGAGTGGCCCAACAACCAAGTTTGTGGGTCTACTTCAGGGTCTACATCGTGCCGCAATAACTACCTCGGAGACGCGAGCTCGGCGCGTAGCCACTTGTACAAGCGCCATAAATTGGTCACAGGTAGCCTCTTGATGATGATGTGGTCGTTTGCTGTGGTGGCATTTATGATTACGAAGATTCACGCGAGCTGGTTGCTACGAGCAACATCAAGGCTGGGCGATCCGATACACGAAATGTACCGATCCATGGCGCTCGACCAGCTTCTTCTCCCCTGCTGGGTATTCGAGGAGAGGCTCGAGGTTAAACGAGCAAGTACAAGAGACAAAGTGCTGTGTGGAATTAGATAGAGCGCTCAATTTCGATGCCACACGTCAGGTCTCAGCATGTCTTTGTACGTCGTCTCTTGTCCAACACTGTCCACTCGGTCCAACGATTGACGTGAACCGTACGTTTGGGACGCTTCTGGTAAATAGTTTAACCGCAAATTGCGTTTATCGAATTGCCCTTCGCTTCTTCGCGCCAAATAAATGATCTGTCGAGGATTGTCGATACAAAAATTGCACGCGACTAGTACCAAGCCAGCGATCACTCGACTATCACCATGCTGCGATGCTCCTCGGCGATCAGCTACACGCGTCTGCCCATAGGACCTAGTAAGCTTCACGCGCGTGGAGCGTTGGCGCCGAACGAGATGTGAGGTTGGAGAGTTGGTCACGTGGGTGCTGCTGTCCGTAATCCATTTCGTTCCGTGACGTCGTGGTCCAAAGCAGAAACGATGCAAGCAGACCTTCCGCCCATGGACTCTTGACAGCTTGAGAGACTCGAGTCCGCTTGCACGACGACCTCTGGACATACTAGTATATATCACCGCGAGGGCGTACAGTGCATGAGGCTATCGCATCGAGCTTGGTATTTGAGCGGAGATGCAGCCGGACACCACAGCAATCACACGCCGGTGCTGTTGGCGACTGGATTCTATAATAACACAATCGCAAGAACGCTGCGAGAACGCGCAAGTTTCTCGTGTCTCTCCAGGCGACGCAGCATGAGAGCTCGTCGTGCGTTGCGAATGGTTTGGTATTTGGTGTAAGCGGCAGGGCCTGACTGGACAGGAAGCCGCTCGCTAACCATTGTACCCGCGGCAAGAGTTTGGTTGCAGTTCGCACATAGGAGTCTAGATTTGATACATTGATACACTGCGCCAACCCTCCTGTATTTTGCACAAGGAATTGATGTTTTATATTGAAATATGTACTTGGATTAGCAGGGACTAAACTAGCTGACGATCGCTTCGTAGAGCTGCTGGCGCTGGCGGAAGAGTGCCTCATCCAAGGTCGCGAGCGGCTTGACGCACGCCATAAGGCAGTTGAGGACAACGAGGCCGACGCAGGCGAGCGGGAGGAACCCAATGCCGCAGCTGACGCCGACGATGATGACGACGAAGAGACCGATCGAGAAGGACATGCTCACGAGGCTCAGGAGCACCAGCAAGAGCATGTTGCCGAGCTTGGTGCAGTAGCGCGCAAAGGTGCCCTGGCGGCGACTCGGTACCTCGAGCATCAACGGCGCTTGCACCGACGTCGGAAGAGCCTGCTGGCGGTCGTCGTACACCGGGGCATACATGGGCGCGCTCGGCGCGTAAAAGTACGTTGGTTGCTGCGTTTGGGCGACGACGCCGGTCGTGGAGAAGAATTCGCTCGTGAAAAACTTGGTCGTGCCCCGGAGGATCGCGCCAAAGCCGTGGAGGCAGAGCACGCTAAAGTAGAGGAAGCCGACGCCAAAGAGCGCGATCTGCGCCTTGTGGGCCTCGTCAACGGGGATGCCAGCGACGCTCGCATGCAGCGTGTAGACGCGGTGGTGGTGCGTGTACGTAATCGTCATGGGCTGGCTGGACGCGTAGGCGTCGTCCCAGTAGAGCGGGAAGGCCATGCACGCGACCGACGTCAATAGCAACACCAGCGGCGTCAAGCTAAACATGAGCGCGAGCGGCAGCTTGATTGCGACAAAGTAGAAGACGGCGAGGATCGACTCGGCCGAGAGCGTCGAGAGAGACGGCGAGAGGCGGTACCCGCTGCGGTGGTAGAGGCCGCGGCGTGGCACTTGAAAGTTGACCGTGATCTGGTCCTTCGTCGGCGCAATGCAGTTGTACAAGTACACGTCGCACTCGGCGAAGACGCGGACGAGGTGCAAGAGGAACTGCAGCACGAGCAAGCCGAGGCAGCAGAGCGGAATGAGTCCGACGCCGAGCGACCCGACCGAAACGACGAGCGCGAAGGCCAGCAGTGCCAAGACGAGGTTGAAGAGGTGGAAGAAGACGAGCTGGAACGTCAAGAGGCGCAGTGGACTTGTGAGTGCATACCAAAAGACATTGTCTTCGTGGTCGTCGCACGGCGGCGGCGGCACGGCGTAGTACTGGGGCGGCGCAGCTTGGTACCCGCCATACATGGGCACAGCAGCCGGCGTCGGTGCGGCCACTGGCACCGCCATCACCGGTGTCTTCTCCGTTGGTGAGAGCGCAGGATACATTATCGTTCAAGGAGGTTGACAATTGAAGAATGACTCGAAAGGCAAACTCTCGATGGTCACCTGCATTCTGATCGGAATGTAGGTTTAGGAATGTCGGTAGCGGAGTGTCGGTGGATCTGAGTATTCGTTTTCTCGTATCCGTCTCAAACTCGTAAAACACGTGTATAGACAGGTAGCAATCGAGTCTTTAGAGATAATTGGAATCTGTTTGGGACCAATCATGATCTGAGAACTTGGTACACACAGCGTGTGAGATGGCGACTGTAAGGTGGCCAACTGTAGCCAGATACCCTTTTCCTACCTGGCCCAAACGATCTTGACTCTATAAATGCAGCCTTGAGTACTTGAGTACACTACTACGCGGCCATCGTGACTGCCTAGTGTGCGAGACGCGTTTTACATCAAATGATTCTACGTACGGTAGCAACGGACATGCATTTCAACTTTGCATTCAAATCTGTGCGACCAACTCGATTCTTAGGCTGTGCTCATAACCCAATGGGTTCCGAAGCGGCGTCGGCAAGGCCTTGGGTTTTGAGCCACTCGGCGTTGTAGAGCTTGCTTCGGTAGCGGTCTCCGCCGTCGCAGAGCACCGTCGCTACGGTGTGGCCAGGGCCAAGCTTCCGCGCTAGCTTGACGGCACCGACCACGTTGAGTGCGGCGCTCGGGCCCACAAAGATACCTAGTGCATCATCCATGGAAACGCGGGTCGCAAGACATGCAACAAAGCACCGTCGTGGCGAAGGAGGTGGTAGGCCATGCGCACAATCTCGAGGTTGGTCACGATGATACCGTGGTCCATGACACCTTGCTTGAAGTTGGGGTTGCGCGCGGCAGGCCAATGCCCTCCGCAATCTAGTCATCAGTTGTAGTTGATGCGGAGCAGCGAGGTTTTTCATGCCGTGTCGCCGCTTGTCTTGGGAAGCATCTCCCAGCCGTTGGGCTGGACCGTGCTGTTAGTGCGCTTCGAGTTGATGTAGCCCGCGGTCGCGCCGCCCTCGGGGTCGACGACCCACACTTCAATGGCCGGATTCTTCTCCTTTAGAAACTTGGAGATGCCGCCAATGGTACCGCCCGTGCCTACGACGGTGCTGAATGCAAGCAGCTATGCTATCCTCTGGCGTACCAGACGCGGCCACAAAACCGTCGAGTCGACCTGCCGTCTGCCGCCAGACCTCGGGACCCGTCGTCTCGTAGTGCGCCTGGAAGTTGGCCATGTTTTCAAACTGGTCAGGTCCAAAATGCGTCGTCGGGTTGTCCGCGATGATGCGCTTGGCGAGGTGGTAAAAGTGGTTGGGATCTGAAAGCGGGACGCCCGGCTGGACGTGCGTCGTCGCGCCAAAGGCTTGCATGAGCGCGATCTTCTCCGTCGACGTGACCGCGGGCATCGTAAAGACGGCCTTGTAGCCCTTGGCCGCCGCGACAAGCGCGAGGCCGAGTCCCGTGTTACCACCCGTGGCTTCCACGACGGTGCCACCCGGCGGAAGGTCGCCCGACTTTTCCGCCGACTCGATCAAGTACTTTGCCGCGCGGTCCTTGACACTGCCGCTTGGGTTCAGGAACCTACAAGCAGCTGCTGTCAGACACGAGTCCAAATCGATACGACAGGTCGTCGTCGTACTCGGCCTTGGCGAGAATGCGGCAGCCCGTGAGCTTGGAAAGCGACGGGATCTCGAGCAGCGGGGTATTGCCGATCGCGCCGAGGATGGTCACGACCTCGTCCGACGTCGATGCCGGCTGCGAAAGCTGCTTTTGGGTGCGCTCAGACAATACGCCGATGGCGGCTCCCGTCGCCAGAAGCGCGAGGCCGCCGGCAGCGCGTTGCAAGCCAGCAGCGGTCATGGTGCAAACTCGACAATGCCACCTCGCAGTCATAGCGAGCGACCCAATCACAGCATTTCACACATTCCGCACTTATACCACGATTTACACACATACCAAATTCTGCTATTTTAATGTGAAAATCAGAACTGGAAACACCACGGTGAGATATGCAGGCTCGTGACTAAAAACACGCAGCTCGCATGCGAACGCGAGATGTCATTATAAAATAAATAATGCTTTGTATCGTATTTTTGTATTGCGATTTGAAACTGCATAATAAAAAGATACATCATATGACAAAAGTATTGACATGTGAATTGAAAAACAGTGTAACCGACGGGAAGCTCATTTCTGGAAAACGCCATCAAAGCAAGATGATGCTGGACGATCTCCACACGGCTACGACCGACCTCTTCCTCCTCCCCTGCCTCCTCTTCCTCGGCCTCTTCCTCCTCTTCCTCAGCCTCTTCCACCTCATCTTCCTCCTCTTCCTCGTCCATGTGTGGAAGCCCATGATGCTCTTCCTGGCTGAGAAGGGCCTGGCGACGAAGAAGAAGGTCGTCGCCTTGGAGGAGAAGCTTGCAGCGGACAAGGCTGGTGTCACTACCGCGCGCCTCGAGATCGTGGCCGCAGAGGCGGCGATGAGTCGCCGTCTCGTCCGCTCCGTGAGCGCCCCGGTGCTCCCGTACGAGCTGTCGTCGTGCAAGCCCGTGGCCGCGGTCGCTCAGAATGGCTACCTCGCTCGCAAGGCTCCGACCAAGACTGCGTAGCTTGCTATGTGCAGCGTAGTACGTGTGCTTTATCTATTTCATCTTTGAACACTCGCATGTGACCGCACGACAGGCAGGGCGACGGCAGAGTGCTCGATCCATGGTGCTTTAGACCATGAGGCCCTCGACGATCCCGCTTGCCTAGAGGTACACACAGAGGGACGTGATGGACAATATTCAAGTGGTGTCAAAATTGGCAGCTCTAGGGACGCTTCTAGTCTAGTTGCTTTACGGACGCACGACCAAGACGAGAAGCGCGTGCAAAATGAGGAGCGCGACGCATGCCATGCCACTCACAATCGCGAGCTTGTACTCTACCAGCATTATCATTAGCCATTAGTTCAGATCACACGCAGAAGGAAGTACCCAGAAGCTCGGACGAGACCGCGAGCGGCGCCATGGACCAGCGCACCGCCATCTCGGGGACGATGGCCACGTAGAGAGACGTGAGCGAGAGGCCGCAGAGCCCGAGGCCGTGGAGGAACAAGCCGTGCACGAGCGACGTGCGGAGGCAGAACCAGACGCCGCCCAGCGCTGAAAGGAGCGCGACACCGAGGGCGATAAGCGTCGCCGAAGCGTCCGACGTCTGGAATTCGTACGCGAGCATGTCGAGGACGCCTGTGAACGGGTGGGCCACCAGCACGTCGTCGGGGTACGTGGCGTGCGAGTAGACAAGCGCGATGCTGCCGACGAGCGCGCCAACAAGCGCGCCAAAGCCGAGCGCAATTACGAAGCGCAGGAGACGACCGAGGAAAGACCGCAGCGAGAAACCCTTGGCCACTAGTCACACGCACCCTTAGCCATCTCGAGTTGGAACGTGAGGGAAAGGTCTACCTGGCTCGGACGAGACGGCGTGCACCAAGAGTCGCTTGTCGGCGCCCGCGGTGCAGAGCCGGTAGCCGTCGTCTTGGGGCACAAAGGCCATGCCCGTGACAGCAAACGTATGCTCTTCAGGGAGTTGCTCGCGGCGCACCTTCTCCAAAGTGGCGGTCGCGAACGTTTGGACGTCGCCTGACGCGGTGGCTGTTGCGACGAGCTGGCCATCGACGCTGATGCAGCAGCTGCCCACGGGCTCGTTCCCGGCGACCGCGATCGCGGCGATCTGCCACTGCCACGACGCCGCGTCAACCTGCGACGTGGTCACGGGTACCCATTTGATGAGGAAGGCGTCGCCGCGGGGCGGGCTCAGCACGGTCATGAGGAATTGCCCGCTGGGCGCGAAGCGGACGCAGCGGAATTGGTGCTTGAAGACCGTCGGCGCTTGTTTGGCGCCCTTTGGCGGCAGCGGGACCGACTTGGGGTAGGCTGCAAAGCACGCGGCGAGGGCGTCGGCCTGGGAGAGCGAGCATGTGATGGCCGCGCCTTCGTGGAGCCACCAGAGGTGACAGGACGCGGCTTCGTCGCTCGAGACGACGAGCTGTCGGCTAAACGCGTCGACGTGGATCTGCTTGATGCGCTTCGTGTGGGCTTTAAACTCGCCGACAAGCTGCACGTACGACGTGTCACCGATCGCAGAGTCGCCGAGGACAGGCGTCATGTCGGGCGCGCCGTCCAGCGCAGGTGCTGTCGCCCAGCCTTTGGTTGTGACGTTGGTCGCGATGGACCAGCTACGAATGACGCTGTCTTCGCCGCCCGTGAGCAGAGTGTGGTTGCCGACGAAGCAGACGCTGGACTGGCCGCTCTCGGCGCCGGCAAAGTCGGTGCGGAACTTGACGAGGAGTGTGAGCGCAAAGGCCGCCTTGGTCTCTTCGTACGCGACCGCGTATAGCCAGCACGACGCGTTGATGCTCACGGCGAGGAGGCTCGAGTCTGGCGAGATGGCGAGGCCGGACGCAAGCTCGGTGCCCGTGTCGGCGCTGCCGAGGAGCGTGTAGCCGGTCGTTGCGGTCGGCGCAGCGTAGACGTCGACCGTGTTCTTGACGCCTGTGCGCGCCGAGCCACCGCCGCCGCAGATGGCCACGAGCTGCTTGGCTTGGCCGAGGCCCAGGATCGGGTACGAGACCTGCATGCTGCTGCTCCGCGGAATAGAAAGGGAAGATGACGAAGCCATCGCAGCCGATATAAATACGCCGAGCATACAAATACCGAGTGTATTGGATTGCGGTGACAAATCGAGAAACACATGACAAAAACGGGTGCTCTCGCGATATTTAATGCGTCTCTTAAAAGCATTTCCGAGCGCTTCATGTGACCTGCATAGTTGCAGCCTTGTCAGACATCCAGACCGATCGTCGATGACTACTCGGACTGCAGTCGTCATACGTACAATAGAGAGACTAAACCATCATCATCGGAACTACGTGGCTTACTAATCTATGTTTATAGTTTCTGAACTAGCACGTCCAGGGGGTATAACTACCAGGCTCAATCGCTTCAATGTCAATGTCTTGCAGCAGGTCATCCACGAACCCCGTGAAGCGGTCCATGTCCATGGGGGCGTGAGCTACCTTGGCCGCGCTCTTGGGTAAGCAGTGTCGATGGCGCCAGCAGTGGCCGCGGAACCGAGCGTTGGTGTGACAGCCGGGGACGATACAGGGGTGGCCACCGCCGTGGCCGACGCACTTTTGATTCCGCCGTGCGAGTTTGCTACAGCCAGCGACGGAGCAAAGCGGTTTGAGCTGGCTGTGCTGGGTGCAGACGCCGTCCTTGCGCGCGTTGCGGCTGCACTGTGGGTAGCAGCAGAGGAGCTTGCCGCCGTGCCGGATGCAAAAGCCCCGCGCGTACACTTGGTTGGAGCAAAAGTCGACTGAGCACTTTTTACGGTTGCGGTGAAAGGCGCACTTTTGACTCTCGCCGTCCACGAGCGCGTCGCAGCCCTGGAAGAGGCAGACGATGGGTGTTGTCGTCGAGGTCATGGTGAGAGTACGTGTGGTGTACTAGTTCTTGGTAGTTCTGTGGTAGGTGCCAACGCGGGCAAATTCAAATCTGACCAATGAGCCCGACTCCCTGCACCCCGCCATTCCACCGTGGAAACGTAACCAATTTTCCAAAAATTTGGAGTCCGTCGCCGCTGTCTCTCTCACGACACGGGGGTCCTAGGTTGTGCGACACCAATGTGGACTTGGATATCATTGACCATCGCGTGGGAGATCGCCTACGACGCTTGATGGATCAGCGAGACCAGTCCGACAATCGCAGGTTCATCGAAGTCCTCCGCGCAGTCTCTGTCCGACCGTGATGCTATGCGTTGTGCATGAGACTACGTTCTCTGCTTGTCTAAATCCAAGACAAACTTACGATTTCTGCTTGTCTGAATCCAGGACAATCTTTCAAAAGTTGGAAACAAAAACCAGTCGAAACGGGAGTTGACTCGGAGGTGCAAGCCATGGAGGTGCGGACTGCTTGTGAAAACTTTTGACCAGCAGTCCGTGGTAAAACGCTCATCCACGTGGGGTTCCAATGTAATATATGTAACGCAAACGAGCGAGTAGTAGAGATTCAGCACATGCCGATGCGATACCTTGACAGCGCATGTCTTTCAACCGCGGTACGTAATCCTTGGCCCAACTCGAGCGGCGGCGCGTGTTGGTCACAAGAAGAGCAAATTTCAAGCTTGCGTTGCTTCCGATGAAGGTCCGGCGTGCGTAGTGTTGACGAGGGTTGGCCCACGTCGACACCACAGGTTCTCTTCAGTGTAGATTTAGTTGATAACCCCACTGAAAAGCAATGTCCGTGCACCGCGATGGTGTTCTACAAGCTTTTGTGAACGTGTGGGTTGATACGTTCCATCGGTGAATTCAAATCCAGTGACGGACGAGACAGATTGCTGACGTTGGAGTCGCATTCATGGCTAAGGAGTCTCACTGGCAAGGTGACGCTGCTACTGGTATGCGTCGATGGCACTGTGCCGCGATCGAGATGCCGCCGCCGCTGGAAACAACGACGGCCTGACACTGCCACCACGCCCCAGCCTAGTGACTTCTCTCCACCCGCTTCCAGCAACTTCGCGAGAACGCACCCAGGGGTCATCCAGTTTTCTAGCCGGACGTTCCGGCTAGCAAAACGGAATGGGAAAGCGTTTATCGTGCTGAGGTATCGACGACACCGTACTGTATATTGAAACGGAAGTTGTACCACTATTGTCATTCATTCGATGACATCGCTCCGGTGTGTGCTTCCTGTAGCATTGCTGGTCTTGTTGGCCGGCGATCGGGTCTTGTGTCCATCTCAACGAAGGCAACATACACGTGGTCATCGATCTGAGGCATCGTCGTAGCTCTTCTCCACAGTTTTGGACGGCTGCATGGTCCAGCCACCAGATCTAGCTAGTACTATCGATGTGGAGCTCATTTTTACAACTGATACTCTTTTCATCCGAAGGGCGCAGTCGCCCAGTTTTCCGGAACGAATGCGTCCACGTGTTGGCGCGTTGCGCAGCTCGTTGTGTGTCTTTCAAAAACCATTACGCAAAGCCCACTATCTGTCGCGATCGCGAGACAACATGCAACCGCGTAACACAAGTGCTTCATCTTTTTTTGATTCTGAAAGGCCAATCTGGGCGGCTCAGACGCCTTTGTTATCCAGCGATGGCTCGTGCGGTCGCCTCGAAACCACCACTACAGTGTGACTCGTACGCGTTATAGACAAGGTTTCGCCTCGGACATTTCAGTGCAGCGTGGGCTTGACACGCATGACACTTTCAGCGCTGCAACTCACCAGCCCAAGACTCTAAGACCCTTTTTTGTCACGCATGACCCTCTTTTGTCCGCATCAAGTCGTCATATCGTCGACGACGGGTAACCGGAAACAGTCATGCTGTGCACACCTTGTCCATCGACAACCGTCAGCACGGTGTTCCATGTTATAACCTCGGTTCAAGCATACATAACCTCGGTTCGAACCTACATACCTAACCTCGGTTCAAACAGACAAAAAATTGGTTCCAACGAGAGCTCAAAATAGATAGTTTAAAAATGCTACGCAAGCGATCGTTTACTTTTCATAGCCAAATTGCTGGGACGCGCCGCCACTACACTGCCACAGCTGGGCCTTCTTGGACCCGAGGTCCATGTCGAGGCAGAAGCCTTTGTGGATCATGTGCTTGATGGCCTTGCTCGACGGGTCGTACTGCCACTGCTGGTTGCCGTTGGAGAGACTGCACGAGTAGGTGTGGACGGGCGCGCCGTTCGAGCCGCGATACGCGTCGAGACAGAGCCCCGTGAGCTCCGACTTGATGGTGTTCTGCACGTGGTCAAAGGTCCAGAGCGCGCCTTGGTCGCTCGCGAGCGCGTTGAACGACGGGCTCGGCGGCCGAAAGCTCACGCTCGAGTCTTGGTTGGCGGCAAAGACCACGTTCTGGCTGCGCATCGAGATGCCAACGTGCAGCATGACGGAGGCGACCGCGATCATCTGGTTGCTGTTGCCAAGGACGCAGGGCCAGACCTGGACGGCGTTGTTGGCCGCTGACGGGTTCGCGTCCATGCACAGGTTGTTGTGCGTCGCGTGCTTGACGCTGGAGCCAGAGACGATCCACTTTTGGTTGCTGTTGCTCTCGTCGCAGGTCCACGTGTGCAAGTACATGTTGCCGTCGCCACCCCGGTACGCGTCGAGGCACTGGTTGGGCGCGCTGCGGCTCTGCAGCTGCTGCGTCCCGGCGTTGTACGTCCAGACAAAGTTGGCCGAGTACGTGTTGTCGCCCATGTAGATACCAGAGTAGTACTCCAAGATGCCTTTGCTCGACGACGTCGTCAGCGTCAGCGGCAGCTGCAAGCGCGACGCGATGGACAAGGGGGCTACTGGCACGGACGCCGGCGCCGGCTGCGGCGCTGGCTGCGGCTGGGGTTGCGGCTGAGGTTGCGGGTTGGCAGGCGAGGCGCCGCCCGTCTTGAACTGCTGGGAGAGCTGCGTGCACTGGCCGGGCTGGAGCGCGACGTTGGCTGTGATCATGTCACCCGAGAACGACGTCATGCTGATCTGCGTCGACCCGAGCGGCGCGGTCTGCTGCGCCTGGAAGTAGTATGCCGTGCCGCCAAAGAGCGGGCAGGTCGGGCCATTGACCGACATGCTGGCGACGCCGTTGACCGTGTTGGTCGGCTGGACCGCAAGCCACCACTGAGAACTGCCGACCTTGGCGCAGATCTTGACGCCGCCTTGGACGGGGCAATCGACGAAGCTCCACTGGACCTTCCAGCGACCCGTCGTATGGCCCGTGGTCGCCTGGAACACGGGCAGGGCCATGTCGAGGTCGCCGTTCTCGCAGCCGGGGCAGTGGTCCGTGATCTGCGCGACGGCCACCGTATTTTTGGTGCAGCCAGCGTCGACGCACTGGATTTGGACGCAGCGGCCGCAGTGCTTGCCGAGCGCCCACTGCACCGTGTTGATCGCGACGTGGTAGCCGTTCGTGGACATGGGCAGCCAGTCCATGAGGTTGCAGTTGCCGTCGCCCGGCGGCGACCCTTCGGGCCCACCGTACGTCGTGGCGATGCCCGTGCTGCTCTGGCCCAGCACAGCGACCGCGAGCGCGAAGACAAGAAGCGCGACGACGTTCTGCGCCATGTTGGACGGTCGGCAAAATGGAAAGTGAGGCGTCTGCGATGCACCAGTGGCGTGTGCACCACGTGGTCGTGCGGCAGTCGGCGCCTCGGCCAAGTGATGTTCGATCGCTCCATCTCGCCGCCCGACCGACCAACCACGAGCCGCCCCAAATACTACCAAACTTAACGCGCAAATCAACTTTATCAGCAGCTACAACCAATGCAGGACGGCGCTCAAACGCGTCGTTAACGAGGACATGCCCACCGAATGATAGGCTCCAAAATCACGATCGAGCAACGCACGCACCCAAGGCCAGCGCTGGCGTGTCCCAAGCAACGAGCCGATATCTGGGGTAAAGTATGCCTCTGCTTATCACCACACGCGCGGCCATCGCAGGTGGCATTGGCGAAGACGCCAAACCGATCGCGGAAGGCTCGGTTACAGTACTCGCAGCAGCCCATCTCTGTCTCCGAGGGAGGAGGTTTATCGAACCGAGCGAAGCCATGCAGCGAAGCTATCGTTCCTGCTGAATTCATGTGGATCCTTTCTCCACATCTGCAGATCCTTCCCAGTTACTAAACTAGCGTCAAGTCAATGAAGTGTGGTGGCGGCTGGTGCTAAACAGCCAACAAACTGGAGGTGGCGCTCGAGCTCCGCGCGTAGCACGGACACATTTCCAAAGCGACGAGGGAATTAGAGGACTATTATAGGAACGCTAGCCCTTGAGCGGACCAGCTGTAGAGCCAGATGACGCAATGGCAGGTTGTCCCAAGGTTGCCCTTGGGAGACGACTGCATTGATCTGGATAGAAATGCACCCGAAGCTCCTAGTTCCACCACCGAAACCAGCGGCGCCAACGCTTTTTTGTCTTCTCGGCCACTTTGGCGGCGGCCGCATCGACGACCGCTTGGTGCTCGAGCTCCTTGAGGCGAACCTCCAAGAGATGGCGAAACTTGGCCCGTGCGCCTACAATGACTCTCGTTTGAGATTGAGTTTCGGCTGCGAATCTCAACTACGTTTGCTTCGAAACGCGCATTGGAGCTTGACGGCGCTCGCTTCGACCTTGCGCTTGTACGCTTCGTCTTTGGCCCGCGCATGCAGTCGTTTGCGCTCGTCGATAATGGCTTGGCGCTCGGTCGCTTCGGCGAACGGCTACCGTCGCCGCATGTCGCATGGTGTATGTATCAAGTTGATACCTCGGGGGCAGTCGCCTGTTGCGCTTTGGACACTTGATCCACGTAGTGCCACGTGTCCGAGGCAAAGTCATACTCGTGCACAAAGCGGGGCGAGAGCTTCTGCACGGGCACCATTTCGATGACGCCGGTGCCGTCATAGACGACCTCGACGGTCCCAAACTTGTTGTGCGGCACACTCGTGATGATGGCACTCGCAATCACGTCCGCGTCGCTTCCTGCATAACAACATATAACACTTGTTGCCATACTTGGATGCATACGAGGTAGCCGCTTGATGTAAAGCCCGTCGGTGGGAGCCAAAGTCGTCCGCAGATTGGTAAAGGGCTGCAGCTGCGAGAGTTGGCGCGGCACGAACCGCTTCAGGGACCCGTCCGAGGCGAACGCCGCGCACTTGTCGTCGTGACGGCACAGAGTTTTGAGCTCGTCGAGCGACTTGGTGGCGTCCGTCGCGAAGTTGCCGGCGGAAAAGTCCCGTCCCCGGTAAAACTCAAACCAAATGGCTACGCACACAATAATGTCAAAGTACAGGACACCGAGCAGACTTGAACCCGCGCGCCGGGCAAGGACCATCGCCACCATGACTTGCTGCCCGAGGACGCACCACGAGGGCAGTTGCACGGCCTTTCTGTACAAGTACGCTTCGTAGACGCACTGAATCGTCGCGGCCGCGGCGTGCCGGCGCGCAGTGAGGATCTGGTATTTGGCGTACGCGCGGTGGCAGCGGAACATCGAGGCGATGCGCCGCGCCGAGTAGTACTCCAGGTCGAAGCGCAGAATCGCCTTGTACCGCACTTCGTCGGCTTCCATGACGAGCCGCTCGGCGCGATGGAGCGCTTGCAGTTGAACTAGCGTGCGTGCATGACAATTATGTGTGCAAGCTAATTTGACGCATACAAGGGGAGTAGTCGTCGATGGGCTCGATGTTCTCGGGGGGGACCCACAGCTTTTCGTGGTTCAAAACGACGGGCTTCCCTACGCCATAAAAAGTACCTTGAGCAACTAACTTTTCACTGCTGCAGGTTTCATCGTTGGCAACCGGGCATTCGGGGTTGCGTCCGGGGACCCATCTTGGAGACGGAAATGTGCGTCACGAGGCGCGTCCGCTCCGAGAGCTGCGCCTGGAGATCGTCCTGCGGCACGTGGTTTGAGATCGGGAGAGACTTCAGGGCTACCCGCTGGCGACTCGCGCGGTTGGCGTCGATTTCGGCTTGGGGCGGCAGGACCTTCATGCGCTCGTAGTAGACTCGGTACTGTCCGAGTACGACTCTTAGTTGCTCGACGAACTGCGCTCGCTGTTGTGCCTGCGGTGACTAGCAGCACGCTGGATGGGATCGAGAACCTCCTCTTCCGCGTACTTTGGCGTCGAAATAAGCAATGAGCCATTGGATCGGATCGTCCGACTGAGCTTTCTACCATAGCCGTATTAGAGGCGGCTTCGACGAATAGATCTATGTACCCGCAGCTCGACAATAGCTTGCAGACACTCGGGTACAAAGCTCTACAACTGCGTTCGCAACAATGTACTTTCAGAGTCGACGACCTCGAAAATGGCGCGGGTATTGCCCGACTCGATTGCTGGAAATGCGCCGATGGTAGGTGGAGGCGCAATAGTGTCGAGGACGTCCATGTGCGGGCACCAATGGTCCTGCAGCCAGCGCGGCTCTGGGGCGAAGAAGGCTCTGTCTGCGTCCGTCAAGATTGAGTCGGTCACGAGCAAGGTCGCCTCGAGGTCCAAGCACGTGCGAAGCGCTTGCAGTCGCCGTGCTCGGAGTCGCTGATACAAGTTGTCCAAGGTGCAACTTGATTGATGATCGTCGTACCGAGAGATCGTTGCGCATGCGTCCGAGGCTGATTTGCTTCTTGTGCAACTCCCGCGACAGCGTCACTTCGTCGGGTTCGTCGATTAGCATCGCCTGCTCGCCTTTCGCCTGCCGTGCCACTTGTAGAGAGCGACATACCGCTGAACGAAGGTACTCGGCCATGTAGTTGAACGGGTCGTGGGGTCGCGCCATGATCACCTCTTGGATGCCATCCGACAAGAACTGCAGCAGCCCCTACAGCGACGTAGAAATGTAGCCTCGCAATGGCGTCTTATACTTGGACGGGCGCTTTCTGAAGCGCCTTGATCTGCGCTGCAAGGTCCGCTCGCCACGTCGGTGGAAGGCCCATGCGCACCGTTACACTACGGCCTCCAATCTAACAGCACGTTGCCCGATGCTTTTGTTATAACTCTAGTAGGCATGGTGTACTGAGTATCGGAGCTACAATGTAGCGATGCTGATCAAGAGGCTTTGACACGTTGCGACGAGAAGCTGCGATTGCGCAGTATGCTTCATCACTACTGAAGACGCGGCGAAGAACTAACTTGAACGGTGGGTTCTGCCGCCGTTTCAGATCCCGTTTCGCGCGCCAAGTAGCTCGTCCATGGCGTACCATGTAGCGCAGCGGCCGCAGTCGGCGCGGCCGCACGTGCCGACGCGGCCCTTGCCCAAGGCGGCGAGCGGGCACATGACGCTCGCGACGTTTCGGTTTGCGCCCGACTCGGACGAGCTCGAGCGCACGCCGGAGCTGATCAACGTCCAGAGCAACGTCCATACGCTGCTGAGTCTCATGGCCGACGACTCCAACATGGGCCTGCACCAGCCGACGCGCGTATTGCAGGCGTCTCGCTTCCGCACGCATCTGCCGAGCACGGTGCTCGTGGGGCCGCACTGCGATCTGTACGCGTGGTATATGACGTCCAAGGACGGCCACGTCGTTCGGAAGCACAAGTCCAACTGCAACTGGAAGAGTGTGCTCCAAGCCTTCTGCGGACACATGAACAAAGGGTTCTCGCCGCTGAGCCACCGAGGCGCGCGGACGGCGTGCCGCGACCATTGGCCCGTCGCCGTGGCCAAGTTTGTCGACGGGCGCACGCGGCTCCTCTCGGGCGCAGCGCTCATCGCGCTCGTGAAAGGACTCGAAGCGAGCGCGCCGGGCGACACGGACTTTGCGACGCTTCCGTTTTGCTTGACGCAGTTTGTGCCACCGGCCAAGCGCGTGCGCTACCTCAGCGTCTACACTGTGGTAGATGAATTCAATACACTCTCGTTGGCACTTAGGCTTTGGTAGGTTGAGGGCGCGGGCGACTGCCACGTCGTTGTCGCCGAGCTACCTCCGTTCTACCGAGAACAAGTGCATAGCGACTTGCCCGTGACGGATGGCAACATCAACACGGACCCGATCCAAGTCGTCCAACACGGTGCGTCGCCTCGTCGTCTCCTCTTTCCTGCCGCATGCAACGAGGTAGAAAGCAGTATGTTGCTCGGCGAGGCAATCCAGAAGGAGACGACGCTCTTGGCGCGTCATATCAACCGCCACAACGCCGCCACGGGCACGCCGGTTGTGCACCAGCTCATTCTCGAGTACATGGTGCATGCCAAGGACGGCGAGGTCTACCTGACATCGATCCTCGGTGTGAGCTGGCAAAACGGCGAGCAAGTACAGCAAGTGTGAGTTCGTCTACTGGCTTATCGATTTGATAGGTGCACTTGGTGGACGCTGTCACAAACAACGTGGAGCTACTAGACCCGAGTGGACCCGCGCCTCCGACGGCGGCGGTCGCGCGGCAGATTTTCAAGTTTTCAAGAAGCTTGAAAGGCTCCCAAGCCCGATGCGAGGTGGCGGAGCGGCAGGTCTTGCACTACATGAGCGAAGCGGAGAAGGCAAAAGCGCAGGTGTCTGTACTCCACGACCACTTGCAGCGCACGTCCGACCAGCTGCAAGTGGCATGCGAGGCGACGCCGTACAAGATGCGCATCGAAGCCCTCGAGACGGCGCTTCGCAAAGCAAATCAGCGCGTCGAGACGCTCGAGGAGCAGCTCCAAGGCGAGCGGCAAACGCGGGTCGAGAGTGCGACCCTCCTCACGAACGAGGTACTTCAATTGTGTCTAGTTGATCGTCCAATTGAAGGTAAAATAGCGCAACACGTTTTGTGTGGCGCTGCAGCAAGCGCAAGCCAAGATCGAGACGCTCACAAAAGACCTCGAGCTGGCGACGTCGACCGAGGCCAGTGCTAGTCGGTCGCTGAGCGCAGAAACCACGGCCCATGCGCGGACCCAGCAGCTGCTAGCAGGTCTGGAAGCCCTTCTCGCACAGCAAAAGGACATCCACGCCACTCACGTCGCCAAGATTCGAACGCTCGAAGACGACTTGACAAAGACGACCGAAGACCGCGACCACCTCCAGCGCCTCGTGCCCTACGCCAATGTACGCCACGTTTAAGTATCAACTTGATACCATTGTGACGTGTATAGATCAAAAAGACGGCGTATTGCAAGCGACTTCACTTGCACGATCTCTACTTGGGCTGGCCCGACTGGCAGCTGCAAGTCGAGTGCCTCGACCGCGTCGTCTCGATGCACGTGCTCACGCTCCAGAAGACCTTTGACCACTTTCAGCCGATGAAGCTGCCGGTCCTTCTCGAGTCGACGTCAATTACACGCACGTATCCGCTGATCCACCACCGGCTCAACTTTGCCCAGCTCTGCGAGTGCATGCGTCTCTGCGGCGTTCTCACGACCCGGTACCAATGGCGTTCCAACGTCCATCAACGACGACTGCAGCTAGGTTCACGACGGCGGTGCTGGAAACCGTGTTTCTCAAGTGCACGGAAAAGTCGTTTGCAAAACAGACGAAAGGCCCCACGACCGCTGGCGTCGGCCGACCCCGGGGCATGTCGTTTATGGAGTTCATCGAGTGCGTTGTGCGCGTCGCGATGCTCAAATGCAAGGCCTCTCACATGGCCGCCGAGGCGGTTCAAAGCTTCATGGACACGCACTTGCTACCCGCCGAGCAAAAGTGGTGACGAGCTTCATACTTCGAGTTCAAGAGTTGAGCTCGCCGTGTCGATGCGACGTGCTTGAAAGCAATTTGAACGCGTTTAACGATTGCAAGTATCATCAACACCAAGTAAGTCTTGAAGCAGCGCTGCGCTTCGTGCGCGCTACAGCAGTCGGAGACACCAAGGTGGTCACTCCAATTCAGAGATCTGCAAAGTTGTCCAGTCCGTCTGTCCGGAGCTGTCCGTCGGTGTACGTCCGTTTTTTTACGTACACGGACGGACATTGCGAGGCTCCTCTGGAAACCGGACGGACATGGACGTACACAAAAAGTTGGGATAAATATCGGACTGGACACATACGTACACAGCAAAACAAGTGGACAGGAACTTTGTCCGTACGTTTCGTCCGCAAATGTCCGATGCGAATCGAGCGTCGAGGACGACCTGGAGTAGCATGGGAGAGGCATCTTGGCGAGTCCAACGACTGTCGAAGGACTCCAATGCCTCTCCCGGGGTCACATCGAACCGACGGTGGCAACACGGTGACGAAGCAGCGCAACCGCCTCAGCCCAAGTTTGGTTGACGACCTTTTGTTCATCCGTTCTTTCATGAGCGAAGCTTGGATAATATGCATAAAGGCAAAAACATTCTCCTCGGGCGTGATCGCTCCAATGACTTCTGGGCTAAACTCAACCCTGTGGCGTGCTAAGCTACATTACACCGTTCCGTTTTCCATTGTCGTGGTATAGAATAGAATCACAGTGTGGACGTCACGGACGTCTGCGGACAGAACGTACAGTCACGGACTGGACATAATTCGGACATACACGTACGGACAAAAAATACGAGGAAAAAACCGTACGTACATGGACGTACAATATTTCTTTGCATATAAAGCGTACGTACATGGACGTACAAAAAAACTCATAATAAAACCTACGGACACGGACGGACACAAAAACCCAGTGCAGATCTCTGCTCCAATTCGGCGTTTCAAAAGAGCATTAAAAACAAAACACTGCAGGGAGTATTGTATACCCCGGGGCACAATGATTAAGTGCCCCGGTGTACTGCCATGGAAGGTCCTTTTTGCAGCATGCCGCCCGTGAAGGTGGCGATCGTCCAGTTCGAGCCCGTGCTGGGCGACGTGCCCCGCAACATGGCCCACGTCTCGGCGATGCTCGCCAAGCTCTCGGCCGCTGACAGCATCGACATTCTCCAGCTCTGCGAGGTGCGCTGTCGGTGGCCGTCGTCAGCTCATGCGAGCTAGATGCCATTTACGGGCTACTGCTTCAAGGACCGCGCCGAGATTGCGCCGTTCGCCGAGCGCCCGGACAACGGACCTACGTTTGCGTGGTGCCAGGCGCAGGCGCGCCGCCTGCGCTGCCTCGTGGCGTGCGGCTACGTCGAGCGCGGCGACGGCGACGCCTTGTACAACGCGATGATGGTGCTGAGCCCGGACGGCGATCTGGTCTACAATGCGCGCAAGGTAGAAGACGATGCGATACAACAGTCTATAACGCGCATGCAGACGTTCCTGTACGAGACCGACAAGACGTGGGCGTCGCCCAGTCCCAGCAGGTTTGGCTCGTGGTACTGCCCGTGGCTCCAGCGGCAGCTCTCGTTTGGTGCGACTCGCTACAATCGGATCTTTGCAGAAACGTCAATGGATGCTACTAGGTATCTGCATGGACATCAATCCGGATGATTTCAAGGCGCCGTGGGAAGCGTACGAGTTTGCGACGAGCATCGTCGAGGCCAAGAGCTCGATCGTTCTCTTCTCGAGTGCGTGGAACGACCATAGCCCGCATGAGACAAGCAACTCGGCCATGCCAACCATCCAGTGCGGCCAACCTGATTCGTATGACAACAAGAATGGGCTAGGTATTGGGCGAATCGGCTTGTCCCCGTCATTAAAGCGGCCCGCGCAGCCACGACAGACTGCTACTTTGTCTGCTCCAACCGAACCGGCATCGAGCGCGGCACGCCCTTTGTCGGCGGCTCCTGCGTCTTGTCGCTGCGGGAGCCCTCGCTCTTGATCAGTGCCGGGCGGTTTGACGAGGCCGTCTTGGTCGCTACCTTGCCGTAGAGTCCTATTGCTGAGCGCTAGAGCGCAATATACAAATGGATATCTGCGTCCAGGTCTGTCTCGACCGCTGCGTCGTCTCTCCTCAAGGTGGCAAGGCGCAGAAGGACGACTACCAAGGCAGGGGACCAAAGCCATAAACGCTTTCTATGGCCCGCGGCTGTGTCGATTCGATGGCAGCACTTCTTCGATGCAGGAAGCGCCACGTTTTCGCGCCTCAATCGTACGTTCCGACACCAAGGACGTGGGGTTTAAATAGGTCATATTCAAGGTGCTCACAATGTCAGAGCATGGGGTCGTCGTCGTCGTCCGAGTACGTGTCGCTCTCCGTGTCGTTGTCGTCGTCGTCGTTGCCCTTCTCGTGCTGACTGAGAAAAATCTCGGTCGTGTACTCGGCGTGAAATGGCGCGAGGTTGAAGGTGCACCCGTTGGTTTGAAACACGACCGGGCACCCGGCGTCGCGCCACGTCATGAAACGGTCGCGCAGGATTGGCGCGAGGAGGCGCACGTCGGGATGGCGGTCGTCCCACCAGCTGTCGGCTGCGACGCGGCGGCCAAACTCGTGGCACGAGAGCATGTCGTCCCATGCCATGTCTTTGGAGAGGAGCCATCGCGGCGGCGCGTCTTGCGCGCAGACGACGTACGCGTGCGGGCTCTGCTTCTCGACGATCTTGCACTTGGTCATGGCGCTCAAGCGCACCTTGAGGCGCGGCTCGTAGTAGCCGTCGCACGCGCAGTTGTGAATGCGGCCGATCGCACACGTCGACTCGTACTCGGTCGCGTGCGTGAGGTGGGCGAGGCGCCAGATCTCGGCGTGGAGATCCTGCAGGTACAGAGGCGCAGGTGTTCGGATGCACTGGGGGTCGCTCGTCAAGAAGTAGACGCCGAAGCCTTTGCCCGTGATGCCGCACGCCGTCTTGACCTCGGTGTGCACAAGGAAGCGCAAGTTGCGGTCGTCGACGATCGCCATGCGGTTGCGCAGGCGCAAGAGCTGGAGGAGGCGGAAGCGCGGCGACCCGCGAAGGTGCGCAGCGATCGCGCGGGACGTCAAGGCCAGCGCGGCCAGGTCGGCGTTCGACTGCGTCGCAAGTGCGTCGTGGAGGAAGGCGTCGAGGAAGATGGTCCACGGATCTTGGTAGTTGTGGCTGAAGCTCGTAAGACTCATGTTACAGGCCGGTCGTTCAATAATAGCACGAGACGACGAATGAGCTCCGGTGCAATCATCTTCATCGTCCGCCCGCTGGTCGAGAGATCCGGTCATGAGAGCATCTTGGGGAGGACAGAAACGAGCACTTGATTGGCCAAGCCAGACCCACGTGGTAGGCGATCGAGGCCCAGGCGACTGCCAGGTGGTTTTGATGGGTCCCCCCATATCGACGGGGACCTACACTGCAGGCCATTGCCCTGATTCAACACTATCGCTATTGCCCATGTGGACTGAATTGGGGTACGGGGAGGGGGACGTCATGGTCCGCGACAAACCGTGGATCAGGGCGATAAAAACCCCACCGACGGCTCAACCTAGATACATGTGCACCTGGCGAGACCAGGACCGCGTAGACAGGCCACGGCGATCGACATTTCTGCAAAGCGTCTCATTTGAATCAGAAAAAATATGATTGAAGAGACAATATTGAAAGAGTCAGCCAGCCTGAAGACATGTTTGAGATCTGTCTTCAGTCGTGCCCACGGACCGGCGCCAAAAAGGTCACTGCCGTCCACGCCGATCCAACGCCGTTTCTCGCCGATCGATCACGGGATACTAAGCCAAAAGTGAACTAATACATGCTTTGTGAGAGAATTTCATCCAAGCTTCCAAGAGAGCCATGGCCAGACCGTTTGCAGAGGACAACAGCGGCCCTTGGGCGATCATTGTAGCCACATCAGACAGAGTGTCAAGGTCCAACGACAATCAACTCGTCATAAAACGACGATCGTTGAAGTTCCGGCCGTCGCTGGCTCTCGCGTTGGCCTGGGACTAACGCGTCTGTCAACTTGTAGTTGGTACGTGACGTCATGTCGGGCGCGTCAAGCCTCGTGTGGCTTTGGGCGGCGCGCAAAGACAGTAGACGATGTAGATCTCACGTCCAGAACTGCGGAACGAGACGATTCGCTATCCGAGATGCTGCGTAGGTATTGTAGAAACGAACGAGAGAACGAGCACAAAGACGAGCGATTGAAGCTGGAGGTCTCGCATCTAGCGCCTCTTCTTCTTGTTAATGCATCACCAGCTGTGAGGATCTTGTAAACATCCATCTCGGCCCATTGGGGTGCCACTCGAAGCCACACGGGTGGTGCTCACCACATCGTTTCGTTTGTGGGCACAAAGGTCGAGTGCTGGATCATGGTTGGATGGAACGGAGATCCGAGACTGTCGCCCGACACCTTGACACATGCAAGAAAGACGACTCGGGCACTCGCCGAGTTGGCTGGAAAACACTGGGAAACAGTCTGTCCCGATACGGGATGCTCGATGCTAGCGGCGAGAAGGAGATGTGTCTGTTGACTCTATCGTGCTACTTGGTTTGATGCTTAGCACGCTAACCACTTCTGCACGTAGTAGACTTGCGCGAGTGCCATGCTGATGAGGACCACGTTTCCGAGCAGCGCCACGTACACAAAGCGGGCGAGTGCACTCTCGGCCGCTGCGAGACCCAATTGAAGCAGCGACAGACACAGAAACGTCGTACCGTTGCGGCTCGTGCGTTCGTGTTGCACGATCGAGCCGATTTTGCCTACAAGGTATTACGCGTCGGTGCATCCAGGGCTGGCTTGGCCACCTACCTTTGAGGTCCCAGATGCGCTGGCGAAACTGCAGCATCTCGATCCACAGCGACGCGCCAACGTCTACCGACAGATGTGGCGCCGAGTCCAACAAAGCGACGCAATACCTTCAAAGGTCACGAGCGGCCAGTGGTCGGCCGCGACCTGCGACATGGAGTGGAGCTCTGCCGCGCCTACGGACGGGCTAAACACCTAACAGACACAAAAATTGTCCAGCGCGTCTCGTGGAGAGGAGAGGAGGGTACCGCCAAGGACAACGTCGCCTGCCCGTGCTTGATGGCATCTACTCCACGTGCAGCGTGCCATATACAAAGTAGGGCAAACCTGTGGCAATGTCGGTGATATCAAAGACGGCGCTGCCGCCGGTTTCACACGCGACGACGTGGTCCTAGCAACCCACGTGTGGTCGGTCGATAATACTCATGGGCAGTAGTACCCTGGCCACGCCGTCGAGGTGCGATTGCCTAGCCACAGATTCAACCCCATCTCGCACTGCATTGATATCTACCAGCTGCCATGTTGGACTGTCGAGAGAGGGATGGTCGCGAGCTGGAGCTCCGAGACGTCGGTGGCCTTGACCGAGAGCGAGAGGTAGACGCGCGTCTTGGCGTCGACGATGCTGGGGGAGACACCGGAGAGCGAGAATCGCATGTAGCCCACCGACTAGAGACATCGAATCATTCGCTCGCTAGAAGAGCAAAACCTCGTGGTCCGTGTGCGAGTGCACGGCAGTGAGCGACGACGACGAAGCGACGACGCCGAGCGTGTCGGCCCGGGTGGGATAGACCTGCGGACGAAGGGTCAAGTGGACGCTCTGCGCAATGTCTTTACGGTGAAGGTGCGTGTGCCTGCAAGGAGAAAGTCAAAGGCGTACAAGACCGTCTTCTCGGCCGAGCCAGAGCCTGTGACGTCGATGACATGGACGGCAGAGTCGACCATGGTACCTGGATGCACAAAGCAGAAGCGGTAGAGGCCGCTACGCACGCACGTTGTAGGCCTCAGACGACAAGCCGATGCGTACCTCTCGCGCACTTGGATCGCAACGTGTCCAGCCTTGTGGAACGTCCACTCCTTGGCGAGCCGCCCGGTGGGTGTTTGGATGAAGGCGTCCACTGCATCTACCGCGCGCCTTGTCAGCGCATGTCACGTGAGACGATCGCGCACCAGGCGTCTCGGCGTCGACCAGCTCGAAGCGGAAGAGCAGGCGGTTCTGCGTCGCACGGGCGTCGAGGAGCTCGTAGAAGCACTCCTAAACGACGCGATGAGACTGCGATGGCGGCGATGACGCGGGTGCGCACGGGCGAAGACGCCGTTGCAGCCGTGTCGAGCGTAAAGAGGAAGCGCGAGCCGGCCTCGACGGCCAACGCCATCCATGCGATGGCAACCAGCACGGCCCGCGT